GAGCAACTAAGCCCCTGTGCCACAACTACTGAGCCTGCGCTCTAGAGCCCGCGAGCTGCAACGACTGAGCCCGTGTGCCACAACTACTGAAGCCCACACTCCTAGAGCCCATGCTCTGCAACAAGAGAAGCCACCGCAATGAGAAGGCCGTGCACCACAACGAAGAGTAGCCCCCACTCGCTGCAACTAGAGAAAGCCTGTGCTCAGCAACAAAGACCCAATGCAGCCAAAAAAACAAAAACAAAAACAAAAACTTTAATGGCGTATAATTTACATACAATAAAACACATCCGTTTTAAGTGTACCCAATGAGTTTAGGCCATTGTATATATCTTTATTATTTTTTCAGGGTGGAATAGTTTTTTTTAATTAATTTTTTAAATGTATATACCCTTATGTAACCAATACCACAATCAAGGTCAAAAACATTCCCATCACGAAAGATAGGATCAAAAGAATGTGTGTAAATAATGTTAAATTAAATATATACACATTCTGGGAAGGGTACCTGCTGGGGAGCAAGCCTGAGTGGGAGATTACTTTGGCTATGTAAGGTACTTTTTTTGTTTGTTTGTTTTGCCATATTGATGTGTAACCTTTATCAAAATAAAAATGTTTAACTTGTAAAAAGAAAAAATTCCCATCACCTTGGAAAGCTCCTTCCAACCCCTTTAGCCTTTAACAAGCTCCATAGTGAAACACACTCATGTTTCTGCACTGATATATATTCACACTAAATGTTCTAGAGACTATTAATACCTTATGTCATATTGATTTTCCTACTGAATGAGTTTGTCATAAGCTTCCAGAAATTTTTCAGTTTTCAAAACATTTTGTATTTTAAAATTGTTGATAAGGGGTTATGGATCTGTTACAAAAGAGTTATGTGATGATGAAAAATAAATAAAGGTGATAATTACACTTGTATAGATTTATACATGATAGTTGCTTTACAGAGACATCCTGGATTTATGACAAAGGAACTAAAGAGCAAAGGAACGTCTAAATAATCTTTTGGAACTAATATATTTTAAGAAAATTTTATTAACTAGTGTGTACTTTGTATCTAGCAGTATATCTGGCACATAATAGGTGCCCCATAGTACATTTTGTTTTTTCTTCTATGCAACTCATACCTCTATACAATCTTTTTATTTTTTGTATTGATATCTTCTTCAGAAACTCTATTTATTTAAAATCTCTAATTTTTTCCTACTAGTTTTTGACTGTCACTTCCTATAGAACTGTGCTGTCCAATGCTGTAGTCATTGGCGACATGTGGCTATTTATTTATTTTTAATTAATTTATTTTATTTTATTTATTTTTGGCTGCGTTGGGTCTTTGTTGTGGTGCGCGGGCTTCTCACTGCGTTGGCTTCCTTGTTACGGAGCATGGGCTCTAGGTGCGCGGGCTTCAGTAGTTGTGGCACACGGGCTCAGTAGTTGTAGCTTGCGGGCTCCAGAGCACAGGCTTCAGTAGTTGTGGCGCATGGGCTTTGTTGGTCTGCAGCATGTGGGATCTTCCCTGATCAGGGCTCCAACCCGTGTCCCCTGCGTTGGCAGGCGGATTCTTAACCACTGTGCTGCACCACCAGGGAAGCCCCGACATGTGGCTATTTAAATTTAAATTAATGACGATGAAATGAAATGAAAATTTCGTTCCTTATCCACACTAGCCACATTTCAGTTGCTTGACAGGCACAGGTGACTAGCGGCTACTATATCAGACAGAGTGGATATAGAACAGTTCTACCATGGCGGAACATTCCATTGGATAGAGCTGCTCTGTCTTGTTTACCACTTTATTCCCAGTGTCTTGTCAGTGCTTAGGATTTGGTAGATGATCAACAAATACTTGCTGAATAAATGCTTTTAGTTCATCTAGGAAAGCTGTCATGCAAATATAAACAGATTCTGTTTTGTTTGAACAGCAGTGGTTCTTAGGGGCTAAAAATGCTCTCCTTGAAAAAGTAAAAAATTACATTATATTTTAGACTGTATTGTAGCTTAGATTATTATTAGTTTTCAGTCATGAGCTCTTACCATATACCAGGCACTATTCAAAGTGCTTTACACATAGTACCTCATTAATCTTCACAACAACCTTATGATGATACTTTATTCCCAATTTACACATGAGGAAACAGAGGTTCAAGAGGAAAGTAACTTGCTTAGGTTCACACAGCTATTAAGTGGCAGAGCCAGAATTTGGATCCAGGCAGTCTGGCTCCAGAGGCCAAACAGTTAACTACAACACTGAGCTCTTTGTGATTATTTTTAATAAGGACAATTTTGTCTCTTCTTTCCACTATTTCAAGCTTTTTTTTAAACGTTCTTATTTAATTGCATTTAGCTAGGACGCCCTGAAAAATGTTAAATAGCTACTATAGCCCTGCATCCTTGTGGGTCCCTGATTTTTTAAAAAGAATATTCATTTATTTATTTATTTGGCTGCACCGGGTCTTATGCGGCACTCGGGGGCATGCGGGATCTAGTTCCCTGACCAGCGATGGAACCCGGGCCCCCTGCATTGGGAGGGCAGAGTCTTTATCGCAGAACCACCAGGTTAGTCCCTGGATCTGTGATTTTAACGAGAGTACTTCTGCCATTTTACTCTAATGTATGATATTACTGTCATTTTTTTATAATTATCTTGATCCAATTAAGGAACTGTTCTTTTATTTCTAGCTTACTAAGAAATTTTTAAAATTCAGAAATGGCTGTTGAATGTTATATGGTACATCTCTAGAGAATATCATTTGGCTTTTCTCCTTTACTTTAATAAATGTCATGAGTAGATTTCTTAATGTTAAACCACCATTCTTTGTTATGGTGTGAATTCTTTTTACTACCACGTTACTGGATTTTATGTCTTAATACTCAATTTTGTCTTTTTAACAAAGTCATGGTGAGAATAGAAGAATTTTCCTTTTTTTTTGGTGCTCTTTGCCTTGGGTTTTGGTAACCGGTTTATGCTAGCCTTGTGGAATAAGTTGAGAAATTTTCTCCTTCTGAAGGTGATTCTTTGTTTCCCTAGATTCCAGCCGGATTTGGGTACCCCATCTCACTCTCTTCTTCCTTCCAGAGGTGCCCCACAAGTACCACCCATCATTTAACAACTTTTTTTTTTTTAACTGCCAAGGCCCTTTTCTTTTCTTTCTTTCTTCCTTTAATTTTTGGCCGAGTGGCTTGTGGGATACTAGTTCCCCGAGTAGGGATGGAACCCAGGCCCCCTGGGGTGCAAGCATAGAGGCCTAACCACTGGACCACCAGGGAATTCCCACCACCAGGATGTTTTCTTACACCAGCTCTCAAAGCTTCTCATAAACTGGACTCACCTACTGATCCTCAATAAAGCCTGTGTATCATGCAGGTTTCTCACATTCCTTGCACAGGCTCCAGACCTTCCGGCTACCAAGCCTTTGCTAATTTCATGCCACTTGCCTTGCTAAATCCTAACCATAGAGTTTGAGGTGGAAGGTATGGGGTGCTGTTGATTATGGTAAAATAGAACTAACATTTGAGGCAGAGACTGTGTGTAGCTGCTTGACACCTCTCACTTTATATGATCCTCAGGATCTTGGAAAGCTATGTTATTTTTCTTTTGTAGATGGGAAAAGAAACTTGATAAATGTTATACACTTTAGTGGAGGTGCCAGAATTTAAAACTAGGACTGCTTAACCCAAAATGATTGTTGCTTCCACTACAGCATGTCTCACCTCCTCCTTTGTGTTCCCAGGTTACAGTCTCTCACGTTGACCTGCAGGTCCTCCGTGCTTCACTAGCAATTACAAACTGTACCACACCATTTTATACTACGTATATATACTCTTTTGTATTTTCTATTGTTTCCTCTGTAGTCTTCTCATACAGGGCAGTTATTCACTGAATCTCTGCCTGTTTATCCGACTCCAAATTTGGGCATCTTTTCTTACCTTATAAAAAGAATACCGGGAAAAATAAAAGTAAAAGGTTACCAAATACAAAGAATTTTGATTGTGTTAGTCTTGACTGTATACCGTAAAAAAAAGTCCCTTTCAAAATAAGTTTAACTCTGCGTGGTCTTCCAGGGGCTTTTTTAGCGACCCCCGCAAAATCAGTGCCTAAAAAACAAAGAGATTTGGCATTTGTGATTACTGATCACTTCCCCACCCAAGAACATCAAACAACGGCAAGATGCTGGAAATCGCACCTACAGCACAGACTTCCTAACAAGGAAAGCTAGAAGATAACACACTCCCTCCCAAGCTCGTGCGCGACCCTGCCTTCCCCCTCCCAGCTTCAGCTGGATGGAACATTCCGTGCGAAAGCTTTGACAGAGCGCACACTCGGAGTCACGTGGAGCAGGAGCGTACTCGCGGCCGCCTTGCGGGATGACGCTAGCTAGGGTTGCCAAGGGGCGGGGCAAGGCGCCGCGGAAAGGGCGGGGAGAAGGAAGCCGTGGAGGCGGGGCGGGCAGAGTGGAGGGGCGGGCGGAGAGGGGCGCGCGGGAGGGGAGGGCCCAGCGTATTATGGGATGCGGCGGTGGAATGGCGCTGGGCGCGTGATTTTGAACAAACCCGGGTCTGTGTCTTGGAGGCGCCGGCGCCGCCGCGGCTGCGGGGAGCCCAGAGATCGCGGCGTGAGAAGGAGGCGGCGGCGCCGCCGGCTTTGGTGAGTGTCAGCCCCCGGGGTGGGGGCCTCTGGGCAGGCGGGCGGGAAAGGGGGCGCCGCGGGTGGTGGCGCGGGCGGAGGGCGCCGGACCGCCCCCTCCGGGAGCCCGGGCTAGTGGGTAGTGGCGGAGAGCGGGAACCTGCAGTCTGGGGGACGCCGCGCCGCATCCCTGGGCCGCAGGGGGAGGGAGGATCCTCCGGGCTCGGCCCCTTCCCGCCGGCACTCGGGAGGGCGGCTGTCACCCAGCGGGGCCGGCGCTCTGCCGGCAGCCCGCCCTTCCCGGCGGTCTGGAGGAAGGGCTCCCGCGGCTGTTGACACGCACACTGCGCGGTCCGAGGAGCCCCCGTGTCGGCCCCGGGTTTCTGGGAATCGGTTTTGCTGCTGTGTCATTTTGTACCAGCTCCTCCTTTCCCTACTGCTCGCCGCCCCGTTCTTCCTATGCCCCTTTGTATGGTGTCTTCTTCGTGTATGTCCGTTTTCCTCGCGAAGCCCACCAGTCAAATGTCACAATGTTCCCGAGGTGCACGGGGGAAGGGAGCGGGCCAAGACTTAGCTTGGCCAACCAACGGTAAACACCAAGCAGAGTGGGGGTGAACAGGGCTGGCCGTGGGGAAATAAAGTTTAAAGATAAAGAAATTGGGAAGACTTGATACTCTCAGAGTCTAGCAGGCTGCATATAGAAACGGCGACTGGGCTGGGTGATAGTACTTGTTTAAGCCTGAAGCTACCGACTTTTATATGGAGTTGTCATTCAAGCAAGGTAAGGAAATTAAATGCCTTTTTTCAACTTCTGCCTTTCTCTTTTTAAACTAACTTTTAAAAAAGGCGGTAGAGTGGCTCTGTTCGAAACCTTGAAATTCAATTTGCTCATTTCAGACAGGTCTTTTAGAGCTTATGCTGTAGTTGAATGGTAGGTATAGAATTCAGCTTTTCAATGGGTGGTTATCAAATCTGAAATTAACAAAGGTAGTCAACTTAGTTTTTTTTTTTTAAATTCTGTTCCCATCAGAAGCCTTGCAGCTTATGTTTTCCTGATATTTCTTTGATGATTAAAATTTGCGTATATTCTCTTTTAGTTATTTATTAAACTGCATGATGAGAGGAGCTGGTGGAGCTGGGTGGGTAACTCTAGGGTCTTGCTCTGAAGCAAGCTGCTTATTTTCACAGTATCAAATAAACATATCAGCGGCAGATTTTTTTTTTAATTTGGTGACTTAGATTCTAAAAGCATTTGGCAAAGAATTTTAACTTAGAGGTATATTTTCTGTATTTTAGAAATTGTTCACTTATGAATAGGTTCAGTACATTTTAAACCTAGTGGCACTTTGACGTCTTAAACCAATGACAAACGAACTGGAAGTCACAGTGTTTATGGACAGAAATGATCAGACGAAATTAAGTGGAAAATAGTTGAGAAATTTATTTGAAAACTAGACCTTTTGACTACAGTATCTGCGTGAGAATCAATGCCTGTAACTTACAAATGTATCAGAGAGGTCGGACGTGCAGTTGGAAGTAGCCCATTCTGTCAAAAGTAGTGCTGACGGTGGAGGAAAATGTCAGAGCTGGTGAATGGCATTAAAGGTCTTGATCCTGTTTTTAGTGTCTGAGAGGGACACAGTGAATAAAAGGCATTCCGTCAACTCTCTCAAGTTGCTTTCCTGAAAATGAGAGAGTTTGGGCTCTTTATTGCCCTTCTGCCCCCTTCCGCATGTTTTTTGCTCTTCAAAACAAAAAAGTGCCGGACTTGGGGCCCCGCAGGTAGCACGACTTGCTTTCGCGTTGCTACCGGGCCCGCCGGAGCACCATCTTTCGTGGCAGGGTGAAAGGTCTCAGCGTGGACTGTGTGTGCATTAGTATCTCCCTGAGCATTTGAAGGTTGGCGGGGCCGGCGGGAGGTTTCCCCGGATATGTGGGTGTGCGCCTCTCCGGAGGGGAGGGCCGGGGAGGGGAGGAGGAGGAAGGGGGAGGTTACTGGCGGCGGCGGCGGCGGCGGCCCGGGCTCCGGCTGTCGGGGAAGCTGCTGAGCTGTGATGGTGATGACGAGGTGAAAATGGCGGATCTTTCGAAATACAATCCCGGCCCCTGACATACCAGAGGCGGCGGCCGCGGCGGCGTCGCCACCCGGGCTCCCTCCTTGGCCCCCGGGATCCCTGTAGCGCTCCAGTTCGTGCAGACTGGGGAAGGAAGCGGCTGGCCGGAGCTACCGTGCACAGGCAAAACAAGCACCGCCCGGGCTCGGAATTGCCCGGGACCTTCTGGAGTCCCCACCTCGGAGCCGGAGGGAGGAGACAGCGGCAGCCGCCGGAGGTAGAGGAGAAGGGGATACCCGAGGGCTGCTCTGTTTTGAGCTCTCTTTATTTGGGGGAGGGGGTGGGTGGGAGAAGAATTGCGTCGTGGGTCAGGGAATGACTAGTTCAGAGGGCAAAGAATCAGTAGCCTCATAATGACATCAACATTATTCTTTGAGTGTTAAGAGGGCTTGAGTTTGCTCTTACACCTAAGGCTGCTGCTGAGGCCTAGATGAACCGCTAGCAGTTATCATGATTACCTGATTTAATATTTAAAATATCCACTCTGGCGGGTGTTGGTTTGATGATGTTCAGCAGTTTATGGGGTTGTATGTTTCTTTAGGGAGGCAGAGCATTGACATTTTATTCTGCATTTAAGCTCTGTGTCTTAGATCATAGTCTGTGACTTGTTGGGGTGTGGATGTTCACATTTTTTGAGCATATGGACCAGTTTTGTAATCATTAAAACTGTTGTCGTTTTCTTTTATGGCTCTGTCATCTATAGAGGACCCCTTGGGCCCTGCCATTTGGCAAATAACAATTGAGATACTGTCAGTCATATTTGATATCCATGTTTTTCCCTGCCTCTCATCCATTTCATGAATTCAGAGAGTAAAGTTATGGAAAATTTCACAGTAGATTTTATGATCCAAGTGAAGTGCAGCTCTGGGCGCTCTATTTTTGTTCACAAGTTTTACCTTCATTGTTAAGAAGGAAGTTGTGATGGCTTGATGCTCGCACTTGATACGAGTCAAATTTTAAGTTGGTTAAAGATAAATTGAGACCTCTGTTTTATTTTACATACTTGACTTGTTAGCCCTTTGTTTAAAGAGCTGGAGAATTGGCTTGATTGACTCTGTGACAGCCATTGTCTAATTTTGTTAGGTTACCTAAAGATTCATGTATGTTTTAGATTGTGCTGCAGATCCCCAACAGTAGTGTTACTGAAAAGTTACATGTGAATCAAATTTTTGTACATTAATTTGGGGCCCTCTGTTTTTTTCCAGCTTTTGTAGTGGAAGGTTGGGTCACTGGAAGGTTGAATATATGAGTGAACAGAGAGGTGAATGTTTAAGAAATGGCCCCTGGTCATGTTTATGATAGCAGTGATTTTCCTTATCCAAGTTTCCTACAAAGAGATGATGTCATAGTATGTCATACAATATTATTCACTGAGTGTTTTATTCAGAGAGGAAATATTTGTGTGTATAGCTTGGACATTTGAGTGTCCGAATTCATTCACTAGAAGAATAAGAGACCAAAAAAAATTTTTACGGGAAATAACTGAGAGGTACTCAGAGGTTTTAGTTAATGAATTTTCTAAATCATTTTTTTTCCTGATATTCTCGTTTTATCCAGTAGGAATTTGGTTGTTTTTGTTGTTGTTGTTTTTTCTTATAATGTTTATGTTGCAGTTATTTGGGCCATGCCAACCAAGCTGCTAAGTTAATACTAAAACTAAGAATTTTTAAAATAATTAAAATAAAGAGGGAGATTTAATGCTTTTTCACTGGCTTTTTTTTTTTTTTTTAAATCACCGAGTGCTATTGTCTTTTTGTGATTCCTTGTGATTGTCTTTCAAGACCAGCTTTTAGATTATTGTGGTTAAAACAATTAATAATTAGAAGTGTGTTAGAAAGAAATGAAGAGTTATGCCAGTGGAGGTAGTCGGTCGTCTGTTTTGGTGGAGAGGAGCATTACAGATTCCTGTTACTTTTTTCAAATATTACTATTGGGTATCTATTATGTGTCACATACTATGCTAGGGATGGGCGATACCTCAGTATCTTTGCCTCAGGAAACTTTCACTTTAGGAATTGGAGATAAAGTTGCTAGGTTGGGTAGGACCTTAATACAGAAGGCCTTGAGACTTACAGAAAATTTTTGAGTAGGAGAGTGACAGCCTCAGAGATGCACTTGAGGGAGATAAGTCTTGTAGCTTTTTCTGTAGGAGGTATTGCAGGTGAGAGGAGATAAAGGTCAAAATACGTAGTTGGCTCTGAGCTTTGGAGATTTGGAAACTCTTGGTTACAGTGGGAAGGAGACATTGTGAAGGTATAATCTGCATGATATATGACAGATTAAAAGTTCTATGGAGAGGGAATTCCCTGTGGTGGTCCAGTGGTAGGGACTCCATGCTGTCACTGTCCAGCGCCCAGGTTCAATCCCTGGTCAGGGAACTGAGATGCCATGTGGAGCTGCCAATAAATAAATAAATTAAGTAAGTAAGTAAGTAAGTAAATAAAATTTTTAAAAAAGGGAGAAATCAGGAGAAGCTAATTTAGATAGAAAAAGAAGAGAAGAATTTTCATTTGAGCTTTACTGTACCGCATAACTGTCTTCCCAGTAACCCTGCAAGTAAACTAGGGCTTAGGGCTTCCCTGGTGGCGCAGTGGTTGAGAGTCCCCCTACCGATGCAGGGGACACAGGTTCGTGCCCTGGTCCGGGCGGATCCCACATGCTGCGGAGCGGCTGGGCCCGTGAGCCATGGCCACTGAGCCTGCGCGTCCGGAGCCTGTGCTCCGCAATGGGAGAGGCCACAACAGTGAGAGGCCCATGTACTGCAAAAAAAAAAAAACCCAAAAAACTAGGGCTTAGAGAGATTATTGCTTAGGGTTACATGATAAGCAACTAGGAGAGTCAAGATTTGGAAGCAGATCTTTCTGATGTGAATCCCCATGTTTTTTCCACCAGGTTAATCTTGAGCATGAATAATATACAATCTCCCTTTAAAGGGAAAAAAATATTGTGGATCCTCAGTATTGGCCTAAATAGTTTTATTTTATTAAAATATTTAATTTTTAGATGTATATAAATTCCTTATGGTTATTGCTTATATGGAAGTATAAAAGAAAAGTAAATTTATAAATGAAATATAAACAAAACTATAAAGCCAGTAAAACCAGTTAAATTTAGGGTGATGGATGATGTTGTTTTGCTGAAATGAAATCTTTCTTTGCATAGTGAATATACTATTGTGGGCCTTGGCTAGGTGTGCAGTTTTCTGTATGCTGTATATCCTATGATAACTCAACTCCTACACTACTTTTCTGTGTTTGAATGCTGCAGAGCTTTCCTCCTTAAATCACTGATTAGGTGGTTTGGCTTTCACTTGGCATAAATACATCATTTACCTTGTAAGACCCTTCTATGCCCACTCTAATTCTGGTACCATTGATGGTAGATATGAGGTGGTTATCAAGGTGATCCAGAATATACTTTTAAAAAATATATATTATTGAAATGAAAATATGAACTTCTCAAAATTTCTTCAAGACTCATGTTTTATAGTTCACTGCTCCCACCTTAGTTTGAGAAATGTAGTTCTGTACCTAGTTTTTGAGTTGTTGATGTTTGATCTTAGAAATGAAAGCTAAAATCCAAGTAGTATAGTTAACCAGATAGTGCTGGTGGTAAGCTCTAGGTACAAAAGTGTAATTCTTAAACATTCAAATGTTTCTGTCCCAAC